ATCTGCAAAATTATTTAAATTTGTCATTTTAATTACATTTCAATACATATAGATAAAGCATCTTTGCTTTATATTTTGATCCAAATTTTTATTTAAAAAACTTTTCATATGTTCAGTGTTTCTGCTATTTTCTTAAATCTACAAATTCAAATTCCAGATTGAACGTAGGATTTCGAATTGCACCAGTATCAGAGTATCGACGAAACTCAATTGATCACATGCTGTGATGATCGTGCTCATTTGGTACACAAGTGCACTACATATTCGTGTAATATCTTGGGCATGGAACAAATATCATGACATTCATGACGTACATAACGAGGGACCGAACCACGTAATTAGCTGAGTCGCATATGCTATTACATATCACGAATACATGTCGTGGGTGTTCTGTAAATCCCTTTGTCGATCTTTGTCGTCACCGCCCTTCGCCGCAGGACAGAGCAAACTGTATATTTACTCTGATATTAATTATTTCCAGTCACGATTGATTAGTGTACATGACTCGATCAATCACAAATACTCCTATAATTAGGTCTCGTCAAGCAAAGTCTGTCATTATTTCATAAAATTGTCAGTGCTTAAAAAGATCAGCATCGATAAGTGATAATGATTTATATGAAATACACATTGATTATATGTATATCATATGAATCGCCACATCATTTGTCGCTGCTGACCTTATAAGTGCTGATATTTTTATAATGTTAACTGATATTAGTGTTACCTAATATTAAAAAAGAAATTATACGTAATCAACATGTTATCAAATATTCATAAGAAAGATATTTCAATCACATAATATTCATGTTATTTCAATATAAGGGATTCTATATTCTATAATATTCTGTAAGCAATTCTAATTTTTATTTCTGTTTTAATTATTTTTATAAGAATATCTATTTAATGAAATTAGGTATCCTATAAAAGTAATAAATGAAAAAAATATAAAATTATAATATCTTAAAATTTTTTTGAGAAAATGTGAATTAAAAAATTCTGTTTACAGTTATATATTTCACAAAAATTTAATACAAAAATTATTATGTCACCAGTAAATCTCAATGTAAAATTATTTGCAATAAATAACCATTTTTAAATATATGAACCATAGGTTATTTTGAAAGATAAAATATTTTATATTATTTATTACTTTTTTATGTAGAATACCGGATAATACCGTAATTTTTTTGATACATTTATAAAGCTTCTAAAGATTTTAATCCTGCTGAGCTCACGGCCGTATGTCGTCTCCTAGAATTTTTCTGCATTATGACACGGCGAGACAGCGCGACAAAAATGTTGTCGTGATGGGCCGATAGATAAACGTGTAGCATCGCGTTTACGTACGTAAATGTATGCAGTTTTATGTATTATATATATGTATATATATATATATATATCGCGCGTCACGCTGAGTTAAGAATGTACGCGCGTGTCATCGCGTGCAGTGCGCCGAAAGTGGAAAGGGTACGTTTTGCTTCAACCGACTGATAAACGCGGTGTCCGCTTCAAAATGCATAGAATTACTTTACATGGCTAGTAGATAAAGCGCAGTCAACTGGCGCGTTGTGCAACGCCACAGGCGGTGTACGTATTTTCATCTTGCCCGTCTACACGCCGCTAATTTCATACGCGCCACCCGGCGTCGAAAGCTGCGAGCCACGGTCGTGACACACGTCGCCGTTGATTTTTATGCAATTTGCGTTGGCGCATTTATGCACACCGAGCTGCACCGACAAGTCCCCAGTTTTTAACGCATCCCAGAAATCAAATCCTTTCATTATATATTTAATCAGATATTCAGAGCAAATTTTTTACAGAATTTTCGAATTACATTTATAGGATCAAATATAGAAAAACTATCAAGATTAGATTCAAGGTCGAAAGTTCCCTAACAAAATTTTAAGAAATTGATAATTCTGATATGTATACGGGAAAACAGTTTTGTTATAATATCTAAAAATTTAGGTAGATACAAATCTGAAATTAATTTTGATAGTTTAACAAAAAGTTTTAATATTTTAACCAGTTTACATGTTTTACATAATTACTTTGATGGTACAAACAAAATTATTTTCAGATTTGTATTAGCTAAATTTTTAGATACTTCAGCAAAACTCTTCTTCCCATATATATAGGTATATCTATATTTAATAAAATTTTAATTTTTGAGTGAATTTTACTTCCACAAAATTGAAAGATGTTAAAAAATCATGTATTGTGAAAACACACAAATATATCTAAATTAATATTTTTATTAATAAATGAAGTTGCACATATTTTTCAGCATAACGTGGTAACGTGCATCACGATAAAAAAAAATAAAGAATAGTTGTTAATAATACGTATAAGATTTTTTTTATTAAATTTGCCTTATACGTATGCATTTTTAATTTCTCATTGGAAAAACATTTTATTTGTCTATATATTATAACTTGAAATATCAATTTTTGTAAACCTCTTGTGACAATTAACCATTTCCTAGTTACTCTGGTAAATGTTTGTATATCCACTCATTGTTTCGCCGCGAACGAGGCGAACTTCATGGCAGGCCTATACCAGTGCGATGACTTACTGATCATAGCTTGATTTATATTCAATAACCAGCGGTAAACGCGGGGTTAGTTACCCCTCCCCCTCCCCCCATACCCACGTGCAATCACGTCCTGCCACGTGCAAACGTGGCTGATGGTACGTACACAGACGTTCCTCATATCCGTGTATCTAAGGGCTTGCACACACATTCGCGTATGTGCACACATACATGCACAAACTTCTTGCCGACTTGCACGCACACAAGCGGCAATGTAAACTCGATGATTGGCCCTCTGCGGAAGGATAGGGTCACCCTAACCGCCCTGTTCCTCCATTTGTGTTCCTTCGCATATCAGCCATCGCTTGAATTCGCATCACAGCGAGAACGGCTACCGACCAAGCAAAATTTAATGGAGAGCTACTTATGAATGCATGAGGGATTTTTTTTTAAAGCTAGTTATTTGCATTGAAAGCGCAAATCGGATTAACAAAGTATAACAAAATTCTATTTTGTTAAAATAACCGGCTCAAGAATTGTTTAAAATCTTTCTCGAAAAAAAAAAATATATAGGAACGTAATATTCATTTTAATAAAGAGACTTAGCAACTGCATTAAGTTACGCTAATATTTCCACTAATAAAAAATATATACGCGCGCGTAAAATACAATACATAAATGACATCACGTAGATAAAGAAGGGCGTGCAGAAAAATACAGCTTTTTTATAACTGAAGTAATTTTTTCTTTGTAAAAACTTTTATTTATTTATTTAGATATAATTATTTAATTAATGTGTGTGTCAAATTTTATTTGAACCAAATGTCTCGTATATTATTTGGCATCACCGACTCTCATCAAAATTCCATCGAGCGCATATTGAGGTATCTTTTTTAAATTTATTTTCATTTTCCCGTGCCAAGCAACAATATCAACATACAAAGCAACCACGGATAATAACCGCGTCTCATCGCTCGTACGAACGTGTTGGCACCCGAACGACGCATATCTCTCGTTACAACGGTACGTCGTAACATTACGGCTGTCGGCGGTCGTGAACGTCGCCGTGTGAAATGCGGCTGCATCGGCGACATAATTAAAGTCGCCCTTTGTCCCACGTACGCGTTTCGCTTGAATTATTTCCGTGACTTTCAGGAATTCAGTAGGAGGAGGCGTGGAAGCGCTGCCGGGCCGTATCTTTGCGCGAATATACGGGATTTAAAAAATGTGCGGTGCACACTTCTGAAAATGTGCGCTCTGCTAAATGCGTTTTGCGACACCGTACATCAAATCTTCCACGATAAAAGAGACTTGGCGCGATACGCCTATACTTTTATGGCTAGGGTGAAAGTGAGAAAAGATAAAAATCGTACGATTCCGCGGATATTAATGTATTCATATTTAATATTGCATTCATGGTATTCGAGTCATTCAGTTGGATTGATACTCACGTGCAAGCGCGGCCATCTGATCAGATTGCCTCTACCCGCCGGAAGCTGTAATTGATTGTAGCATCTACGTCTCTGAAGTGCACTGCGTTGAGTTGATACCAGCATCTCGCTCATGATTATCGTGCCAACATATATCACTGAGGACGCGATATTGATTCATGAGTGTCACATAATTTTACTTTTAAAAAATAATATAATGTTCGCGTATGTTATAAATATGAGAAAAAAAAATATTTTTGGAAAATAAATTTGACAGATAATTTATGTGATTAGATAAATATAATAAGAATTGGTAAATATAAATAATTATTAAAACTTAGAGATAGATAATTTATGTTTTAATGATGTAAATTATATCAACAATTATATTTTTTGTATCCAGCCATAATTTTGTTATTTTACTTAGAATAAAAAAGTTTGAAAATGAAATAATTAATTAATTCTTATTATATAATTAGTAGAATTCTTATTAATTGAACAGAATTTATTTAATTAATTAGATTTAAAAAATTCTTACATTTATATTGTTTTTCGAAAAATATAATAAAGTAATTTTTTAATCTATGCTATGAGTTATACAGATGTAATCTGACGTTGATTCAGCTAAAGTTCTTTGCAAGCTTAACAAGGTATAGAGCTCGCAAGCGATAAAGTTTATATACCCCAAGATACCTCGTTACAAAGTTACATTGTTATCTTAGACTGCAGGTGGGATCATGGATACGATCTATAAAGAGATATTTAAATGTTATTTAGTCTAGTAACACATATTAGAAATATAATATGTGACAAAATAATAATGCAGAATGGCATAAAGACGTATAAATTTCCTTGTTATTTATATATATCACACACAATTGAATTAGAATTTGATAACTGCTAAATTATTACTTTTGTCTGCTATATATATGTATACTTACATTGCAAATAAAAGTGCTGTAAAAAAGTTACTTATATATTACATTTTTAACTGTTAAATACCCTGTAAAATATACATTTTATCTTTTTCGCAGGACTGACGTGGACGCTGCATCCGGCACGAAAAGTGGCACTTTAAAATTCGTAAGGACTCTGACAAATATCTCGAAGGATGCCGGCGGCGTTGCTCATATGCGATGCGAAGTCGTGGGCGATCCACCTCCAACAAAGATACGATGGTACAAGAATGAAGCACCATTAGAAGAAAACCGACCGAAAATCACTATTAAGAAAATACACGCTCAAGTATGTATAATTGTTAAACTACTGTTAATTTGTAATTATTGAACTATTTTTAATTTGCAATTGTTTCTCCAGAGTTTTGTGCAGAGAGATTTTCTTTAATTTTTCAAATTTAATTTTTGAGTTTTACAATGAAAAAATTATATATGTGTACACTGAGAAAAAAAGTTGCTGTTAAAAAAAAAAATTAATTGATTCAACTAAATGCGGCGGTCACGGACTGTCAAGCAAATATTTGTTAATTCAAACAAATAACATGTTGACATATAACTTATGTACCTATATTTAATTTAAAAATATATAAATACTTGAACTAAATAATCATTACGAACTAAACGCATTTAGTCAAGTTAACAACTTTTTTCTCAGTGTATATATATTTTTATATATTTTTTATTATAAAAAAAGTTTTTGTACTCTCTCATTTTCAGTTTTCTTTTTAATTTTGAAGTTATTATGTAATAAATACAAATGCAAGTATGTATGACATTCCAGATGCATGAACATGTGGCGCAAAACTTGGCAGGAAGTCGATTAAAAATCACAAATTTGGACGTTTCTGATATTGGTTTTTATACTTGTCGCGTCACCAATGGTAAGGATCAAATTCAGAGCGAAGGAACACTACGAGTCGATTCCTCAAAGAAATGGCCAGGTAAGTCATTCAAAATTAAATTTTTATCAATACTTCATATTATATTACTTTACCTATAATAGCCGGGAATAGGAAGTTACTTTACCGTTACTTCTTAAAATAATGATTTAGTAATGACGTTACAATTTTTTATGACGATAACTAACTGAAAGCTAAGACCGAGAATGTCGCTTTTGAAAAGTGATTTGTCACTGTTACGCATTATTTACTGAAAAAAATAATTCATTTCTTGTGATGTATATCGGTTCGTTACTTTTAAAAATAACGAAGCAATACATCATAAGTAATGAGTTACTTTTTTTCAATAAATAATGCGTAATGATGACAAATCACTTTTGAAAAGTGACATTCCTAATCTTAACTTTTAATTAATTATCGTTGTCATTATAAAAAGTTGCAATTTCATTATCAAATTGTTGTTTTAAAAAAAAAAAGTAATTTCTCATTCCTGTTAATATAACTAATAATTTTATGTTATAAGATAAGAAGTTTATATATGTACTTGTTAGAATAATGAATTTTGCGAGATCGATTGTACTTAGAATATTTAATTACTTGACAAACTCAATTAAAAGTTCTGTGTTATTTAAATGATCGACTTTTTTATGATACGTTATTATTCCAATTTAAATTTGGCTGAAAAAGATTTTTCATACATATGTAGTGCAAAATTACGCTCAAGCGAATAGTATGCAGTTACGTTAACGAACTTCGGTGTAACCATTAGGAAGGATAATCGTATCTCCTTCGTAGTTTTAAAGCCACGCAAAGCAGTTCGCCTCATAATTCGGGTAGTTTACATTTCGCTGGAATAATTAAACATGCGAGTTTTAAACACGCGGCCCGTAAAATCCGACGGGTATGATATTCTACGTCACCGAGGCGAGGGAACGGGTCTCGAAGGTGGGCTTTGCGGCCGTAACTCGCTACGGAACAACACCGTAAAAAATATTTGTAATGCGCGAGATGAATCGTGACATTTTACCTACACCGTCGCGACGAAAATTTTCGAGTAAACGCATTAAACATCGGGGATAACGGTGTATGTTTGACGTGAGTGCATTATCATAAAACCGTCTGACTATGGAAACGACTATACAGCTTGGCTCTACACCAGCTGTATTGTTATCTTATGCTATGCAAAGGCGTAAGCAAAATTCTTTCTATCTTTACTTTTTGCGGTATAAAGTTGGATTCATTAAGAGAATTTTTTCAAATTCACTATGAAGAATTTTTTATTAATTATTTCTATGTAAAAATATATATAATACATGAATTTATTTTAAAATTTCTGAATCAGTTTACGATTTAGATTCTGGAAGAAGATCTAAATCTTTTTTATCGAGACAAAATCTGTTAGTAGTTTTACTGGCAAAAAATAATTTGCTTTATAATATTAATATAGTAATTTATTTATTTTTACATTAGTTTCGTTTGATTTCTCTTTTTCTTATTTCTTATTTATTTTGTTTATTTGCATTTCTCTTACCGTGTACTCATTTAAAGTATTTTATGTTTTCGTAAAATTTTTCTCTCGCTGATTCTTATTTGGAAAATTGTAAGCTTCGAATCTTTTAAAAACACCTTTGCCTACATCCTTGTATTATCTTCCCTAGTCTAATAGGTAGTTCGCGTTTACGATGCACCACGCTTTCACCTAAGATCATTCCGGTTAATGTGATACTAGAGTAAATATTTGAAGACTAACTAAGAGAACGCGCAATTATCAATAAATTGTCAAGTCATTTAAACTCTGGAGCTCTAAGATTATTTTACAAACTTAAATAATGTTATAATAATGTTATAATTTTTATCTTATCTTAGTATTTGTCGACGTATTTGCAGTAATAAATTTCTGTTATTTATAATTCTTTTTAAAAACAAATTTTACATAAAGTAGAGTCGCTTGTTTTATCAAATAAATTTACACGGCCACAAAGCATTAAATATCCAGAGCAATTAGCTGTTACAATTATTTATGTAGCTACGCTGTTTTGAAAACAATTCGATTTTAAGTAGACAATAAAAAGAACTGTATTAATTGTAAGCTTTCCTGAATCGTACTCGATTTTCAGGGTGAGAAGGAGCCGTAAAAGTAATTTTGCAACTTGTACAAATACCATGCTCCTCGCCATAACGAAAATCGAATTGACTTAAGAAGAAGTGAAAGTCAGATTTGTTTGTTGTTGACGACCGAAGTAGGACGACAAAGAAAAGCTCTTTCGTACTTCAGCTTCAGAAAGGCACAAAAATAAGAAACTTAACGTGGTCGTAAAACTGTCAATTTGGAACGAACTCACGATCGACGTTTGTTACAAGAGTATATAGATGAGGGGCAAGTTAGAGAAGAGTATAATACAGGAAAGCTATTTTATCGACGTACATTCGAAATATATTTTGTTTTTAGCACGATATCAGAACGATAATTGCGATGCTAGAATTCAAAATAACCGCTAAAGTTCAGCTTTATCTCAAATAATCGCTTAAACTGATTATCAAGATTAAATTACCAAAATTCCCAAGATAAAATTTCCAAAATTACCAATATTTAAATTACCAAAATAATAATTGTTAAACCCAATTATCTGATTAGTATATCGTTACAATAATATTAATTATTATTTGTAATCAAAATAACGTATTTATAATATTATACATAACAAAAAAGTTATTATCTGCAATATTCTGTATTTTGAAATCCGCCAGAAATTAATCACCCTGGCACTAAATTATTTACCGAGATCGTAATTTGTTTACTTCAACGAAGTAATACTTTATTTAAACGCGTTGGGAGTAATAATTCGCCGAATAGTGGTGTTTTACTCCGCACGCGCAACACACGATACATTCTACTTTCCGAGATTACAAATTTTTCTCTTGACACTCTCCTCCCAGGATCTCGGAGGTGCACTTCAAGAACTTCATTATGCGTGGTGTAAATTAGTTTCAATTTATCGTAAGACGAGAGGCAAACTTCTTAAAGCCAAACTCCAAGCATTTCCTCGGGACGAAGTTATTGCACGACAGCTCTGACAAATTCTAATCCAGGCCCGTAGTGTTTCGCTTAATGCGTGAAGTACAGCAAGAACGAAGCAGACCTCGGTAAAGTGTATCTCGTGAAGATAGACAAACCATACTGGTTCTTCTTCTGGAGAAGGAAAGTTTGTTGTTAATATCGCGTGAGTAGAATTTGAAAGCCACTACTTCAGAAAGGTGAACTTCAGTTTCAAGGGCCTTCTTGGCTGAGGCACACCATTTACTATTAATCAATTATAAGTTATAAACATTCGAAAAGATACATATCTGTATTTTGCTATGAAAATTGTTCAAAGTAATGACTTGGAAATTTTTGCAATATAGATTAATCTTCCAAATATATGTATCGTTTATTAATTATGAGTATGAAGATTATTTGAAAAAATAACGATAATCGAAAATAAGGAAAAAATATATAAATATGCTAAATGTGTACACACACATATACATATTTTGTGTGTGTGTGTTTGTTTATCATTAAGAAATTACATAATTAAATAGAAATTAAATAATTGAAAAATCTACAAATCTTGCATTTATAGATGTTATTTATGTCTAATAGTAATTTAATCAGTTCTGTGAAGAAATGAAGAAATACTCAGAAACTATTATAAAGTTTTACAAAGATACACTTTTCTAAATGTCACAATTATCTATCAAATACTAAACAAATATGAATAACATCGTTTTCATATAAGAACTTGTTTCATTTAACAACATTTTGATTTTCGCGTGTTCCTCGCTGGAAATTGTGTCCAAGCAGGATAATATTTACAATTCGAGACAGAGATAACAGCGTGCAAACAGTATAGGACAAAAGTCTCATGGCTTTTCCGGTCTGCTTCGACGGGTCGGTTCTAAAAACGTTGTACCTCGTCTCCTAGTAGCAGGGCGTCCCAACGGAACTTCCTGTAATAAAGTTTCCGAAAAGCTCTCACGCCCGTGGGCGATGAAACAAAACTGGCGGCGTTCCTGGGACGAAGTTACCGTCGAAGAGACGCCCCTAACAAATTCTAATCTAATCCCGAGAGCCTCAGCTAATGCACGAGGCGCGGCAGGCACCTCTCTCCGTTCTGTGTCCCCGTTCCGAGGAAGGCCCTAGCCTTTTCCGTTCCCGGACGGCACACGACGAACTTTAATATTAGCACTCTGCAAGTCAAACTCGACGTTGGAAAATTCAAACTTCTTTCCTCGCCGCGCTGGGTGTTCCTCCCTCTCTCCCCGTTCTCTCGGAGTTTAACACCGTAGGACGAGGGTAGAACGTTGGGATCGTGCAAGATCGGCGAAGGGAGACGTAGAAGATTGCGAAGGGTGCCGCAAGGGGATCCGATCACCCACGACGACAGAAGACGGCTTCTTTTCGAGCAACGAGGAACCTAATCGTCCGATTTACCACCCTGTAAATCTTAACGTGTTAAAGTTAGTAGCACATTATTCTCACTAGTAGTAGGACAATCTTATATTTAATTCCGAGAACGAAAACATGGGTTAATTAATGTTGCAGATTCGGGATTGCCCGGGCTTAATCAATGCTTTTTAATCGTCGATTCGACCAATAGCTAGCAAAATGAAAATGAACGATGAATTGCGATTTTATTACGTTTGCTTTAAAACGTTAATGTTATATTCGTGTACCGATAATTAATATCGAAATGCTAAAATTAAATGAATGGATGGCAGAGCTACAAATAATAAATCATGTCGTGTAGATGTAATCCGATATACTACTTTCAAAAATATTTCACTTTATAATTGAAAACTAAAAATTTTTGTGTTTTTTTAAATGATCTAATATTTAACATACATGTGTAATATATCAATATAGCAATATATTTTAAATAATATATGTCATACGTTATATGTTAGCGGAAATGACAATTTTATTTTATTTAAAGAATCAAAGTAGTATACTCAACTTATATTGAGAATACAACGTTAAAAATGGACATTAAATAAATGTAATACATTTATATACAATGCCTATGAAAAAAATATTATTCTCAGTAATCTAGTATTGCAGCGCATTTTGCTTTATATCGCAATTTCGTGCAAACCGATCGTCGTATGGTAGCTAAGATTTACTTTGCACGTGTTTGCAAGCGATTGTTTCACGTGATAGGGAAACCGACCAAATTCGCCGCACGTCGTCTACATCGTAAACTCCAGGCGCAATGAAATTCATATCGCAAACGTGGGGTACACTCGAGTTTCTAACTATCGTTGGTGATGTATCTTCTATAAGCTTGTATGTCTATCCACTAAAATATAAAATATGTTTTTGTGCTTTTGAGTTTTCCTTGAATATAATTAGTATAATTTAACGAAGAACATACCTTACATGAAACTCGTGTTAAATCTTTTCTATATGATCTATCAAATTTTTAGTATATTTGTAATAATTAATCAGGAAAAAATGTTTAAAAATTATGAGAGAAAAATGACATTCTTACTAAGGACAAATAGACTTTTAATCATAAATTCAAATGAAACGTGTTTTTGCATTGCCAACTTTCTTTTTATTGAACGTGGATGTCTCCCATTTTGAAGCAACCGCTTTAAATAACCACAATATATCTTTCCTCTTTCCGTTCTGATAACGGCGAAATGATAACATTTCGCTCAGCAAACGTGTGACTCAGAAATAATAACTCGTTCACTTAGTACGATGTTCACGTTCCGCGGCTCTTTTTATTAGCACTGTCGAAGTACGAGGGGGGTGAGCAACACGTCGGCGTCGGCGGCGCGGCGACGGAAAATTGGGAAAGGTAAATGGCCGCGTTAAAAGGGTGTCCGACCCGCACCTTCCTAATTCAGTTACCCCGTTGCCCTCGGGTTTTTAACCTGAAGAGGTAGAACACTTAGTTACCCCAAAGCCCGTCGTAGATTTCTCACGTACCCGCTTCGCACGCAGGTGGCAAAATATGAAATATCCATCCTCGTACATGAAACATTATTATTACGACCCTCTATGTCCGGAGAGCTTTTTGATAACGTTGGAAAAATAATGAAATCTCCTCAGTAACTTCATGCTCGCGCTTACACGAAAAAGCTATTTTTTATCTTAATTTTATCTACTTATTATATTCTTCATATATTTCTTAAACTCTACTTATATATTTACTTGCTTTTCACTCGTACAATAGCTTTATATTTAATAAAAAAAATTGAATTTATGTAAATTATATTGTTAAAGAAAGGATGATATTAAAAAAGATTTTAATTCAAAATTTTTATTCAAATTTTGTCGATTTTTGTCCAAAAGGTGGTAAGTAAAATAACTAGTGGTTTTTTCGTAAATTTTGACCTTTTGGATGTATCTCTTGATGAATTTAAATCCTCACATCTATTTTAATAGGTATTAAAAAGTCCTCAACAAATAAAGTATTATAAAAAATATAAATATAGATGTTTTTTTATAAATATAGTTGTTAAGTAATCTAGAAATAAAAAGATTAAATGCACATCTATATATTCCATAGCTTGTCAAGGATCGCATACATGTGTGATCGTGCATCTTATATCTGCGTACCAGTATCTGTCTTTTACTCATCTCTCGTTCTCCGCACGTTCAGGTAATCGCGCGTAATTAGATATCGTCATTGATTAAATTTACGTTATTTATGAGGCATCTCGGCTGTTCCTTATTTTTAATCATAGGATATCGGAACATTTTTAATATAGGTCGAGAATATTGACGTGAGGTGAGTCTGCTCCACGGACCAGACGCGTTTTATGCGTACATAATTGAAAAAGTTTAGCCGCATTTGCGACGACAGGCATCCGTCTCTTTCTCTCCCTTCTCCCGCGCATTACGATTAGTATTCCGTGTAGCCACCGGCTGCAGTAATAGCCACGACGACGTGATATTTATGAGATTTTTTGTTGACTATATGCACGAGACTGTATACTCGTTGTATCCGCATATTTCGCGGTTAGCTTTGGCTTTGCCATGTTTGCGAATTTTTGCGGATCGTCATAAAGCTCCCCTTTCTCGCCGAAAAACGACTCTTTATGAGCCGGTATATTAACTCATACAATGGTATACAAGTTTTAAAATGGAGCGAATAGAGATTTTGG